GTCCGCTTGTTTTAAATGTGAGAGCTCAACAATAAACAAGCTCTGTAGCTCTACCTGAAATGAGTTAGCAGTTGCAAACCTTGGAGCAAACGGCTCACATCCTTCCTCTCAAGGGCAAATGAATCTGCGCACACAGACACGCACTTGCTGGCGAAACAGTGAATAAGACATAGGCTTAATAGGCTGCAAAGACAGAAGTCTCTTAAGATTCAGCAGTGGCCCTTAGTTTGCACTGGGTTCACAGGCCACACTGTCACCCTTCTCCCACCACGAGTGGTGACAGGCAGCCAGTTCTCTTCCACAAGCTCAATGTTTCACAAGTCAATGATAAACTCCTGTCTTATATAACTCAAGAGAGACCTATTTATATAGCCTTTCTTTCTCTGGTGATCTTCATGGAATCAGGCATGAGGTCAACCACATTACAGAATATTAAACTGTCATCAGTTTGGTAGTATCTCCATAAACAGAAGCCACAAGTTTAGATCCTGCACTCCCCAAATCGGCAACCTATTAAAACCAGTGTAGCAATAGAACAGTCAAAGCACAAAGACAGTGTAGAAGTAGATTAAAAAAAGAAAAGTAAAAGAAGAAATAAAATCCCAAGGAAATGGCAGGATTAGTCTGGGGCATTCAGCAAGAAAACAATCCCAGAGACCCATCCCATCTGCTGCCTTAAATCATGGGTAGGTCCTGGGCAGTTTGTTTACAGCCTGGCCTGAATTATTATTTTCCTTCATGACTCAAACAGTTTCAGCTGGTTCACTGCCATATTTACTCTAGGCTCTTCTGTAAGCTGGAATCACTACTCACTACAGGCAGGAGGAGTAAGTGAAGACTTGCTACTGTCTTTGAACTGCTTCGGAATTATAAAATATGAAGCACTGCTCAAAACACTGTAATGCAGAAAAGACATTCACATGAGCCTAACAGTTCTGCTGTAGCACAGCTATTGCTCCTCTAGGCCTGCCCCAATGAGCTGCTACCAGTCCAGTCTGACACACATGGAAGTCAATCCCTAGAGAAAGTTAAGTATCTTAGGAACCTTTTGATACCTACTGAGCTTAAAGACCATATGCAACAAAAGCACAGAAGCCACATTGTGGTATCATTTTATAAACTTTACTTTTGCAATCCTTACCATCAAAAACAACTTAGCAGTTCTAATCATTGAGCACAGGAACAAAAACAAACAAGCAAAACAAACAAACAACAACAACAAAAACAGACATGTTCAGAGATGCTTAGTATCATATGCAACCTGTTGTAATACATCTACTAGCAGACTTCACATACTAAGCAGATACTAACTAGAGATGCCTGATCATAGAGTCTGATTGAAACATTGAAAACCCACACATTTTAGAGCAGGGCCTTGAATATGATCATAACGAAAATTTACCTGCACCCTTAAATGACCAACGTACTAAATTTCATTTAAAAATATGTACATATGCAGATGGCTGCACTCCTCTCATTAAGTCCCCTTTGTCGCAGTGGTATTAGTTGCGTATTGATCCTTTTTCATGCCTTTTGCAGCGAAAATACTCAATAGGCATAGAAATGGCAAATCACATGTCCATATCACATCCAGGGGGCATTCCTAAAGAATGCTGGGTGGTTGCTGGCATCTACATGATACAAAAATGGCTCAAGAAACCATTAAACGTGGTTTGTTTTGTTGTGCATTAGCACTAGCTCCTGTTGCATCCCATCTATTTTAGCAGGAAAAACTATCCGAAGACATAAATATCATGGCTGCAGCATATTTAACTAGCATGCCAAGTACAACACCCCTGAGCCCAAGAGTCCAGGGAAATACCCTGTCAAATGCCATTTGTGATGAATAAGAACATGATACAGCTCTTTGTCCTAGGCATTTCTAGGCAAACCCACAGACAGAGTGGAAGAACAAATTAGTATGAAGACCAAAACCTTTCCAAAAAAGCAAAAGACAAAGAATTTTGGAATTCAAGCAAAACAAAGAATCTTCATTCAAAAAAAAAAAAATCGGAGTTCCAAGACAAAGATATCCTGATAATTCTCTATCTGAAAACCTCCTATCACCATGCTAAATGACAAGTTAAAAAACACCATTTAACTACATGGAAGACAGATGATGAAGCATGGATGTGTCAACTTTCGTCTTAAGTCATAATAGGGACTGAGAACAATTAAGTAACTGTTTTTCATATTTCTTTGGAACCATCACAAACCAAAAGATTGCCATCAAGTAAGAAATGTGTTTTGCTGTAGATATTTCCAGGCAAGTCTCAGTGACATGACTTTTTTCCACCTTGAAATAGAATATTTTATGTATAAATATATAAATGTATGGACAGCTATGTGCAATCTTGTAAGTTTTTGTAGGATATATCATTGGGGTCCTGATTGCTAGAACTTTCATCCGATTCTCATATTCCGATTTTCATATAAAACAAGTGAGCTTTAAAATTTTTGGTTTTTGGAGGAGGAGAAAGGAGAGGAGAATAACACAGGAAAAAAAAAAAAACAGATTATTTTAAATATCTGCTATGTACTAATTATATAGTAAGAAGCAGAATAGAACAGAGTATGAACTACAAATGGCCAGAAACAGCAGTAAAGTAGTGAATACTTCCAGGGTACATTGCTCGTGCAATGCATTGTTAAAATAAACTACTTTTACTAATTTCCACACGCATTTGAACCTTGAAAAACAAAACTAAAAATCAAGATTTTCACTTGAGACACTTTCAAAGTCTGGATCTGCAATATACTTACTAGACTGATGTTTCCAGAAAATACGATTTAGATTTTTTCAAGTAAAGGAATGCATGAAGTCCATGAGTACAGACTCTGCCTGTAAGTGTGGGCCAGCAACATACCAGAATTACACGTGTGACACCAGCAGATGTCTGAGTCATCTGTAGTCCCTAATCAGAGCAGATGTAATTAAGACTTCCTATGGCATTTTATAAAACTCAGGTTGGTTTCACAAGCGAATTGCTCTGATTTACCAGTACTGTCTACTTCAGGCCACTGTAACCTGTAGCAAATTAGAACAGACCATGATAAATCTGACAAGTGTGGGGTGTATGTGACATATCCCTTCCTTGTTTCACAAGGAGCTCCATGTTATTTCTCCATATTCACACGTCTTGATACATACTATGATGAGAGAGTTACTTAGTTCAATCAAATAATTTCAAAACTTTATGGTTGCCAGTGGCACAGAAACAATGATTCAGGAGATTGTCCATCTTTAAAGGTGCTGTCTTGATACAAAGTAGCGATATTTTACTATTGTTTAATATTTCATTAAACTTCTCAACTCCTCTTTTCTGTAGAAAAGCACAGGGTGATCAGCATGATGTGCTCAGCAAGAGCAGCTGAGAGCGCATCAGTGTTCAGCCTCTGGCAACCAGCGTTTCCTCCATCCTTAAGGTAGCTCCAAAACCAAATCCCTTCAGACTGAAACCTTCCGTAGAATTCAGGCTGACAACGGGCTTCCCATATCAAACAAAACTGCCATGTAAATTTACCTTATGGTACTGAATGAACTAAACTTCAAATAGAGTGACCCTTCCCAAGCACACTCTTTTGGCACATGAGGTCAATAGCTATTTATAATGTTTCCCCACCTCTCAGAGGAGAGAAATGTTTTTGCTCGACTCATTCCTCAACCCACTGCACTATGACAACTCCTTTAACATAAACACAGTACCTGCTCATAAGGAATCTGGGGTCCTGCAAGACCCTAGAAAAAACACACAACGAGGGGAAAGCTCTGCCAGTGATCTTCTGCACCGTATGACTTATTCAGGGATAACGTATGCACGTGTGCACTGCTGTTTCTAGAACTCACGCAGAATCAAGCTACTGAAACCAGCACATTTTTTTTCTACCACTCCGCTTACAAGCTCCAGCTCGGCTTTCTCTCAGGGTCAAAGTGTCAGTGTGGTTGTTACGGATGTCCCTCGTCACCTGCTCCTTTCCCTTTTGTAATGATTAACTACCCTCCCTCTCTCAGCGCGTGGCCGGGCCCGCAGCCTCCCCTGCTCAACGCGGGTACCTGCCGCTCGGCAACCAGGCCGTGTGAGAGGGGCTGCCTTTTCCCTGCTATCCCTATCACAGGGCGGCGGATGTGTGTGCCCGTTTCAAAAACATTTATCCAAACCCCATAAAAAGCATTTAGAACAAAAAGCAATGAAAAGATACAGTTTTCTTCTGTATTCTTATGCCATATAACCTCTGCGACTACAATACACAATGCTATCTGAAGATAGGACCCATATATGAAAACAATACAAGATGTATACAGCGCAACTCCTTTGAAACCCAAGTACATTATCTACACAGGATTTGGGGTGGCTGCTAGGGCTCTACTTGCTCTTCCTGCTTTTGGTAACTCTATATAAAGCAATTCATTCTGGGTGTTCAGTTTTGACCCATTGTTTCCCACATAAATAGATACAACCATAAAAGCAGTCTTATTCTAAACACGGCCTAACTGACCACTCCAGAGAATTGTGAAACTGAATTTCTATGGGGAATTGTAGAAAAACTGTCGTAAGCAAAAACAAACCAACAAATAAAAAATAAAAATTACAATCAAAACATATAAAAAGAGGCAAGACTTTTTCCTCTCATCTCTTTGAGGTATGATTAGCCATTGTGTAACTTGTACCCAGTGAATGGTAGAAAAGAGAATAACTATGTAAGCATTCAGAGCAGAATGTGCTATTTTGGGCCTTTTTGTAGGGGCCAATCTATCCCAAACAACAGGAATCACGTGTTTCATACAGCTTTTCCTTTCTATTCAAATCGCGATGTTTCCACAGAGGCTGTCCTGCTTGGTGCTGCCTGGCGCCGGTTCTTCACCCCCTCCACCCACTTCTCACACTGAACATGACCATGTCTCCCAGCTGGCACAAGGAGGAAGCCTGGCCTGCCCCAGAGGCTCATGGTTTATTTGCACCAACAGCCTCGTTTAGAGCAGATGACCGTCGAGGTGTTACCTTTGCAGGTGAAGCATTTGATGTGGAAATGCCTGGCCTGGACACGCAGCACTTCCCCCTTACACGGCTCCCCGCACTTGTGGCAGTGGATGACGGGCTTCTCGGAGGGGTGGTGAGGCTCCTGAGCGTGGGCCACTGCAAAGCAAAACACACGGCTTCAGCACAAGCAAAAAGAGCATTTCCTTCTGTGCATAAATCTGTGCTCACTCAGTTTTAGTCACAATACATATTCCCCTTTTTATGCTTTAGGCGCATCTAACGAGTCACAAATGTTTTTCTGAATACAACCTTTAATAAACCAGTAGCATAAGCCATTTGCACCAGCTACTGTTTCTTTCCACTGAGGCTGTCATGGACAGGAAAGAAAAGGAAAAAAATCCTCCAAAGTTTCCGCACCATGAAGTGTTTCAGAGTCTGTGTTTGTTTCCAAGAGCAGGAGTGTGTGTAAACCTTTCAGTGAGCACAACGGGCAGAAAGAACTGAACTGCTTTAATCCAAAAACAAACATACCCAAGCAAAAAGAATAAAGAGAAAGTAGTTTCAAACCATGATTTGGGAAACCAGATGAACCGGCAGCCTGACTTTGCATGCAAATGACAACATTAAAACTGCAACCATTGCTCTCTACTACAGCATGTTTAGCACAGGAATAGCATGTCTGAAGAGCAAAGAAGCCAATTTATTCTTTCTACCCTCAATAAATTTCAGCAGAAACAACTTTCTAAGAGTGACTTAGAGATTTTATGAATAGACAGAAATGACCACAGCATGTGCAGAGCAACGAGAGAAGCAGGATTTGGGAATGGTGAATGGTAATGGGTAATGACTCTCCCACAGCCCTGAGCCCCAAGCACATGCTGGGTGAGAACCCAAAGGAGCTGCCTCAGCTTTATTGGATATTGTACTATGGCAGTAAAAGGTTTATGGTTCCACATTTGACTTCTGAAAAGAAACACCAAACAACTCCTTTTTATACTTTTTGCAATTGAGAGATGCTCAGAAGAACATGGTAACACACACACCTTTCTGCCATCCCTGCTGCTGGCATCAAACACAGAGTACTGTAAGTATTCCAGGAAATAATTTCATCTACTCAAATATGAAAGTTTGTGCATCTCCTCCCCTAGTCGTCTCATTTCAGCTACACCCTGGAGCACTAATTCAGTCCTATGAGTAAGCAGAATGCAGCTGGTAATGCCAACTACTATTTTAATTAGCAGTTCTTTCTAAATATGGCCCCAAGAAATGCACTGCCTCGAGTGAACCTCATCTAATCTGCAATGTAGCACTATTTCTGGAGTGAAAGAGCAGGTTTATTATTCTTTCAAGCAAGACTACTAACTATTAACTTGTAACCAAGGAAACACACTTTTTATGATTTATATAGCAAGAAAAAAAATACAAGTGAGTAAGAGAGAAACAAACAAGCAGGGAACTGCTGGTAAATTAAGTTAGTCCCAAGAGGCTGCAATCAGCCTGATCCTAAGGCCACTGAACACAACGGCAACGAAAGGCCTTTGGGAATTGCCCAGATGGGGAAGCAGACAGAGCCCTGGGACCAGCGCTCCCAGCCTGCAGCTGCCACGCTCTGCGCTCCCGAGCCCACGTGCCACGGACACCCTACGTGCTCTGCACATCAGCACCCAGATCACCTGCCTTTGGGAAAGACAAGTTTTTGCTCTTTGCTGGAAATAAATAAATGGTTTCAAGGCTGGTCCAATGATGCTACTTCTTTCAAGTTCTGCCCTTGCAGTTATTTAAGTGACTACAAATACTGCCAGGTTGCTATTTCCAGATTGATCTCTTCAGCAAAGCTAATCATGGTCCTTGACTTACTGGCCTCAATTTAGCCTTGTATGTGAAGACTCCAGAATTGACTTGTGTTCTGCTGCATGTTGTTACTCATAAGCCTTTGGCTACCTGCATTACACAGCAAGGCTTCCCAGCACCAGAGGTGACTCCTGCTGGCCATCAGACAGGACAGAACAGGGAAGTAAACAGAAAGGGAAATACCTTTATCATCAACTCTTCTTAAATATTTCTGACTGAAGCCTTTCCAGTGTACTGGACATATAAATTATGGGCTCCTTTTGGTCTGAAAATCCCAAGCAGAGATTCCAGCCAGGCCTGCCTCCTTGCAGACATTTCCCATCTCGACACGGGCTGAATATTTGAGGCTCTGCCCGCAACAGCCCTCCCTACATCCCTGCATGCTAGAGCAGTTATTCGGCTAGCAGCAACGCTGCGCGGGCAGCAGCTCTACATCATGACTGGGGCAACACGAGATTCCCGCCAGCGTAATTAGAGGCTCCAGCCAGGACATCAGTTGAGGCTCTGAATATCCCAGGCTCCAAAGTCTGCCCCACCGCAGACGGCCTGGCTCGTCCCAGGGTAAGTCCTTACCTGGAAAGCACTAAAGCCAGACAGCAAAGTTAAGTTCAGTCCCCAAGTCCATAGCCTATTTGCTTAAACTTGGGTATCTGAATATGCCTTTAGTTTCTCTCCATCTCAGGTGTCCCCAGCTGTAAAACAGGTGCAACACAGCACCTTACCATGACAATAAAGACCTGCGCGATCCATTCTAGCATCTTACATTTCTCTGAAACTTTCTTCCCCCTCTCCAAATTAAAAGAACATAATTTAATTACCTTTTGAGCCAGAGATGCCGCTAGAGCAGTGAATTCCTGGTTCAGTCCTGTGGCTCTCAGCTGCCCTCATAACTTATAGCCCCGGCAGTGAGACACAACCACGACCTCAGGACGTGCCAGCCCCTGCACACTGGTGTGCACTGAAACTTGTCCGCACACAGATCATGCTGGAGTACTCAGAGCTGTGATTTTGTATCGCTGTAGTCCAACCACTATAACAAGGAACACAGATTCTTCTGTGTAAGATTAAACATAAGGTATCTGCCTAGCCCACATCAGCAGGGCACAGAACTAGCTTTAAACAAACACCAATTCTTCAAAAGCATCGAGGCTGCTCCTACTGAACTGGCTCTAGTTAAATTAGTGCAGTGCCTCTGTTGGAATAAACCCCAAGGGATGCTAGAAGCAGGAATACAGAACAAAGATATGACAATTTCTTTGATTATTTTTCTTGTTTATTCCTCCAGCATTTTTCAAGATTAACTATCAGACTATGGTACTTACAGAAGTCTAAGCTGCTACAGTCTTTACAATTTTGCACAGACTGATGACGAGTTGCTCACGGTTTCAAGTTGCTTTCTAACAGTTTTAACTTGTAACTTTGCTGGGACTTGCCCGAAGACTTTGTAGACTCTGTAGTCCTAGATGAACCAAAAAGAACTTTTCAAGAAATAAGCTAAAACTTCCACACTGGTTCACAAGACAGCTTGACCGAATAATTCTTTCGGTTCATTTGGGTTTCCAATAAGACAAATAAATGGCCCAATAAATATCTTATTTACTTAAATTCACATGGACACTCACTGGAACGAGCGAGAAGTCTGGGTCACACTGTCTTATTCAGGAAATCAACAGCACAGGTACAGCATCCTAATCCACATCATCCTTTGCATTCCATTGTGAATCCCATAACACTGATTTTCTTACATTTTGCCTCTCTACAACACGGGTGTAAACAACAGGCAGCTCCCACAGACTGCAAAGACTCATCATTGCATTTTATTGCAGCACCCCACAATAATCACAGAGCTGCACAGAGAAAGGAAGCCTTAAAAAGCGAACAAAGCAAAAAAGACACAGAAGCGAAGCCCGAAGTTCACATCCACAGGACAAACCCAAAGCACTTTCTAAGCAAAACGAAGGAATTCATTTGCTATGCAAAGCTTCAACCCGTAACATCAGGGCTGCATTCCCAAGAGCTGCTTGTCATGCAGAGGTTTTACAGTAACTGCCTGCCTGCTGTCTCAGCCACAGAAGGGACCTCGGTACTCACATCGAGCCTTTCTGAAATGGAAAATACAGCTATTACCAGTTCCCGAATAAAAGAAATGAAAGAAAATGAAAACTGCAGCCTCCCTCACCGATGATTTTTCCAGCCCAGCCTGACCTGAATGCAGATGTAGCCTCTTCACCGCGATCACAGAGAGGCTCCTGGGAGAAGCCCTGCTCCGAGCACGCTGCTCATGGCCAAGTTGCTTGCACTTCTCCCAGCTGAAGGAAAAAGCAGCTTCCTTTAAACAGGAGAAGGATATGGGCTATTGTTCTTTAAATGGTGAACTTGGTGGTTTTCACATCTACATGCTCAGCCTCTCAAGCAAAAGAGGAGTTATGCTCAGCTAACTCCAACCATGTTGCAGCAAGATTTTTAACCTCATGCGGGGATTTACAGTTTTTATGGCTGCCACCTCCACAGTTTCCGGGCTTTTTTTGCATAGATTTTCACAGATGCACATTTTAAGAGGGGTCTGATTCCGAGGGCACTCCTATGGCTGATGAGCAAAATAATCACTTTTGGCTGAAAACTGAACTATTAATAAAGAAGAAAAAAATAAAGAGAAGATTTAACAGTGTGCAACTGTTGTGTTGGGGTTTTTTTGCTCCATGCTTTAAACTTCCCCACCCCATTCCTTTCCACTCCCTGGAATTAAGGCAAGAGGACTGTGCTAGGAACTGCCAAAGCACTAAATGCACCAAACCTTCCTTCGGCCAGCACGCTCTGCCCTCCCTCCCCGCAACACCGGCCGTTTTCTTGGAGACCTTTTCCTCGGATATTTACACGTACAAAGAGAACCAATACTCCTTTAAGGTGCATTTCACAGAATCACAATTGTAACAAGAAACACGTGTCAAAACAGAAACCTAGCTACTCTCACATCGCAATAGTGCTCAGTAATCTTAGTGTCAATCTCTATTTTTAAAGCTAAAAACCATGTCTTTCGGAACGTTTTGACCATAGTGGTTGTTACTGGAGAGCAAACTGCTACTGAATCAAACGCTCTTTCAGCGGGTCTCTCTGAGCAGAGGAGAAGATCCTGCTCCTACACTCGCTGCTCAGTCCATTACACTGGCACTTTGTCAGTACCTGCTTACGAAAAGAGGCTGTTTTGGACAGTTAGGAGTGGGAGCTGGTGTCTTCTGTTCAGGTGTCTCTGGCAGAGGGGAAGAGGGAAGCACCCACAGAGCCTGCCGGGGCATTCCCGTCAGGAG